AAAATAAATAAATAAATACGCAGAAGCGAAAAAAATTACATGAACAATTGCTTATTGTTTTGTTGGATAAGAAATTTGTTAAATGGGGAAAAAACGAATTGAGCAATGGTTTTGATTTCTGTGTAACAAAGCGTCATAATTTCCTTTCCTATAGTTTTTTTCCTCTTTCGGAACTTTAAACCACAAAAAACAGTTATTTTCTTCTGATCCAGTTCAGTTTACAAATTATGCACTCACACATACATACATAAACACGAATATGTAACATACTTTAACACACATACAAATACACACAAACACACATTTCGTTCAGAACACAAAAAAGAACTTGTTGCATTGGGAATCACAGCTTCAAGATGCATGACGAATTAAAATTTTGTGGTCACCATGAAGTGCTTTGTACAGGTCGGCTACTGTATCGTCCATCTGCAGTTCTCGATTTGCACTCGAGATACACAACCGAAAGTCATTCGGATTACCATTATTCCGATTCATCGTCAACAGCAGTGCTATTGCCTCGTAACAGGTAGTTCGCAATGAAAGCAGCAACGATTTATAATTACTCTACAAATTTCTGCCTTTTTTTCCCTTGCTAATGCATTGCATTTCGGCAAAAAAAAAATCACTGGGAATGGAAATCTGAATAATCATGAATCCAAGCAACTAACCTGTGGGCTGATTAAATAGTCGTATATCCTGACTAAAACGCCGCCTTCTGACATTGACAGAAAAAACCGTGACATCTGCGCCGGATGACATCGTTGTAACTCTAGCGGACGAGCATCGGGACTCAACAAAAGAAGACTCTTCACCTAAAACACTTTTACAGTAATTTGGTGAACAAGTTTTAAGAAATTACAAAATGTTTTACAAATAAAGTAATCAAAAAATACGAAAACTGGTTTGAAACGACAACTAACTTCGTCTCCATTAATTTTGGTTCGAACTTCCATGAAGATTTCAAATAGATTAGGATCTCGACACGATGTCCTAAACTTGCCGAGGATTGTGTCGATAACATTCTTAGCTGTATGGCTTGTCGATATTTTCAACGTTTTATAGTCAGTATCGGCGTTAATTTTACCAGTATATATCTTGAGAGTACCCTTTAAAAAATATTTGTTTATTTGTATCCCTATATATATATTTAAACGAACACCATTATATGAAATCTTGGAAGATTGTTTCTTTAGAAACATAAACAAACTTTTATGCGAATTTATTTCTCAGGGAAGGCTGCCTGACGATAATGATATACAACGAAATTTAAGAACAATAAAATCCAGATGTTTCAACTTAACAAAGTACTGTGTTAGTACTAAAAAGAAGTTTGATGTAATAAAAAGACCTGTTTGTTTCAAATTTTGTTTACTTTACAGCACTTAAAGTTGCAGACTTTTTTTTCCTTTTTATAAACACTACTCTATAGTTTAGAAAGTCCAAAAACTTTTCATATGGCCAAGATATCATGAAATTAGTTCCCCAAAATATATTATTTCGTAACAGGACAGCTCTTCTAAACCTCGCTTTTCAGTTACGACAAATGAGGCGAAAGTCATCAGTCAGTTACCAAAACTTCTTTTCTACAGCTACAGTGACAACAGAAACCTATCAAATGAAAAAGCTATGGCCATTTCTTTCTTTAAAAAAATTTCTATGATGTTTGACACAAAAAAGTAACTGTATCTCAGTAAACCTAAGAATCAATGAATTCAGTGACAGCAAAAATACTATTTCATTGCTACAATTTCCCAATGGCAAGTTCAAATTTCCAGATATTTTTCTTAATTTTCATTCTTGTGCTTTTATTCACTTGCAGTGCCAATAAAGTCTTTGTGGGCAGTCTCATAATACTCCTTTTTTAAGAAGTTTCATGTGAATTACGCAGCAAAAACATCAAATGTTGCATTCTCCAGAATTTTTTTTCTGTGAAAAAACTAGTTGTTGGCGAAATATGGCGAGATATGTTGGCCACAGTAATTCTAATCTCTAATTTTGGATATCATTTCGGAATCCTTGAAGAGCGTTTTGGTTGTTTCAATTACTTTGTGTTACGGTCCTCATTGATTTAAAAACTAAATCTTCAAGAATATCCAATGTACGGTTGAAACAGTTGCAGTTGTTCAACGCCAACCAACACTGTTCACTTAACTATAAAACAACAGTAAAATGATGAAATTTCAGCTAACAAATACTGGTTAATCAGTTATGAAAGTACTTAAAGTAAATATTACGTTCAAAAAAAACTATTCGTTACACTAAATTTGCATAAAATTGTATCAAATTTAAAGGAAATCATATATCACTTCCTTTTTTTCCTCCTTCCCTTCTCTTACCTTCCTCTTTTTTTTTCTTCTTGTATATTCAAATTGTCGGTCAAAATAAAAAGCCAAAAACGGCAACCTTGACCTAAATGTATAATTCCAGCATCAACGTACAACAACAGACCCTGACAACGGTTTTAAGATGGACTTATAGAGCAAAATCATTTTGAGGTAAATATTTTGATTGTCAAAAGAAAAAAATTAGAACTAATTCCACTACCGGTTACGAAACAGATTTAAAAATTGATAATTTATGAAGGAAAAAGTTCACACAGTACACAGCAAAAATAACAATGAGAAAAAAGAGTAATTTCAAGAGGAAAAACAACAGATGCTCAAAAATTTCAAATTGTAAAGAAAAGAAAATCTTTGTTAGATTTCGAAATATTTCATTGAACACCGTTTGAAATAAATACAATGCATGTGCACTTTTTAATTGATTGTCTTCTGCTATATATCCATGCATAAAGGAAAAGAAAAAAAAAAGACGACTAAATCTGATACCGCTGAATGTTAAGCAAAATAGTTAACAGTTAACAAAGTCTGTATTCCTTATTGTTCGCTACTATAATGCCAACATTTTTCTGTAAGTAAACAGCAAAAAGAAAAAAAAACTGATCTGAACCGTTGATCAGAAAAAAATAGACGATAACGTTATGGCAAAGCAGTGATAATAAGTACTGATGTTGCTTTTGGTGTAACTTTTAATGCTGATATTGATAATCTAATTAGAATTCAAGTTCACATTTCTGAACCCAAATTTTTTTTCTTCTCATCCCTTATGCTGTCTTTGGGAAAAACAAAGTACAAGTGAAAAAATGAAACTTGAAAAGAATTTTGTATCTGCTTGCCCCAAGATAGCCTTGAAATTATTTATTTAATAAACTGTCTCAGTCTACAGCAATAGGCTTTTTCTTTAAAAAACAACTGAACAAACAGTAAATGTTTGCTGAAATAAGTGTTTTTTTTTCCTTATTGCGAGTAAAGTGAAAATGAAAAAAATACGGTTATTAGTTAATGTTTCCTCTTCTATTTTTACAACCACAATTTTCGTTCACTTCAACTCCGCTCTTTCCTTCTAAGCCTCCTTCTTCTACTTATATTCGTTGCGTTATTTAGTTAACTCAAAACAACAATAACGTGGCAAAAATTAGCAACTCTTATATTTTTTAAAAAAAAACCCTTTTTTTTGTTGCTGAAAAGTAGAAAACAAAATAAAAAAATGAAAAGAGTTATGTGCTGATTTTCATGGACAATTAAGTCAACTGTACAATGAAGGGCAAACAGTTTTGCCGGCTATAAAGATGATTTTTTTTAGCATCATCCTCTCCTCCAACAACGAGTTTTCCCTCTCAATTCTTAAATCTGAAGCTCATTCTACCCACACTGCCAGTTTTTTTTCTTTTTTTCAGCTTCATCCAGATTTTATACATTTAAAAAAATAAACTTTCATACTTCCTTAGCGTGTATTTTAATTTAATAGTCCTTTAGAACCTGCCTACTCTAGCAATCATTATATGAAGAAAAAAATATGTTCTAAAGAGCTTCTCAACGAAAAGTAAGCTAACTAGTCACTGTGTTACTAAAACTAAAACTGCTAATAAAAAATCTTAAATTTCTCTCTCTCAAAAAAATTTACACCCCTCAAAAACTGTCGAAAAAAACTAAACAAGTAATTGTTATAATATCAAAAATTTTCTTGTACTGGACAAATAGGTAGCACTTCTGCCAAATCAGAAAAGAAAAACGGTATAACAGCAGTAATAAATAAAACATAATAAGCAATGTAATATGCAATCAAACAAGTTATATTTGTTCCATATAATAACAGTAACAGCAACCAGTTGTCTGCGCCATTTTATCCAAAAAAATAAACCCGTATATACTTTATATATATATATAATGATATTAAACGTCAAGTTTGTTCTCTCTTTTTCTTCCAAATTTCACTTTCAAAACTCTTAAAGCAAATTAATGAATGTTACAAAAACAAAGCAAAAACTTCGCATAATTTGCATCGTTTCCAGCCCGAAAGTTTTTACTAAAAATTTTAAACTGATGTTTTTCAAAAAAAAAAATAATAATAATAATATCAAAAACTACTTACCCATTCGCTGGATTCGCTGCTATCCACTGAGCTCAGTGATGTTAATGAATTAGAACGGTTTCGTAGTTGGATAGAATTTTGACCGGAACATGACGGTTTGTTGATGATCGATGTTGGAAATGCCGTACAGTTTTGTTGAGCCTCTCGTTGATGACAAGATTTTGACTGCCTTACCTGATACTTTAACATAAGCCTACAAAACGAAAACCGATCACTGCAGCAAAATTTAGTTTATTTTTCACCAAAAACATACGCTGTCATAATGTATTGCGCAGGTAGGTAAACAACAAAACAAATAATCGTAAATTAAAAAAGCAAAAAAATTTGAAAATGGGGAGAAAAAAAAAGCTATTTCAATAAAACGTTCAATACGTTGAGCGCACTGAAAGCCACATTTATAATCATACGCCAGTGAGTAATAAGTAGAAAACAAAAAATGACATTGATTTAGAGCATGATTTGCAGACAACTACTAGCACTGTGTAAACTGCATTCATGTTCAACAGAAAAATAAATTATTCATAGTGCTCCCAAATTAATTAATTATTGCTCGGCTATTGTCCAATAAATTTTGATGGCCATCAGAAATCTTAGGAGACTTATTGAGTAAAAGGAAAAGAATGAATTAAAAAAGGGCAGAAGGAGATAAAGGAATGTTGCCGGTTAAGTGTTTTTGTGGTCAAAGGTCTTCTCTGAGCCAAACCCACCTACAGTACAAAGCTGTTACAGAGACAAACACCAATACAACAAATCATCGACAGTACAGAAAAATTGTTAAAGGCTTAGCACCGTTTTAGTCGATCTGTTCTGTAACAATTGATGCATCTCCGCAATTTACAAATTCACAAATAGGATATAAAACCATGCCAAACAGATAAACCTCCTAGCCAACAGCATAGAAGTTCTAAATCTGAGACACTAAATACTAGAAGAAAAAGAAAAAGAAAAGAAAAGGAAAGACAGATGAGCCGAACAATTGCTTATAAGAAATCAGAACCGCAACAACCACATAAGTACAAAGTTAGTAAACAGTTTACTGTATCGCCCGAAAATTGCAGCAGTGGCGGCAATAACAAAAACATAAAAAATTTGCTTACAATACATCTGTAAAATTTCTTCTTCATTCATTCTAAGTAAAGCAAAGCAAAGCAAAGCAAAAAAAAAAAAAAAAAAAA